ACAAACAGTCAAATTAGTCATTCCACAATACAAACAACCAAGTCAGCCATCCCACAACACAAACAAGTCAGTACTCTTGCACTACAAACAGTCAAATTAGTCATTCCGCAATACAAACAACCAAGTCAACCATCCCACAACACAAACAGCCAAGTCAGTCATCACATAACACAAACAGATGATACAATACAAAATTTAACATTTTCCTAAATTGACACTTACAGCTAGAACCCTGACAGTCGAGTAACAGCAATGAGTGTCAGTGGATGGTAAGTATGTTTTAGGAACAAACATTTCATGATTTTCAACTATACATCAATCTCCTTGTACAGAACAACAAAGTATAGTGGCCAGTCTGTACTGGAACCCATAATCTTTAAACTGATAGTTAAACATTGAACATAATATTTAGTCTTCTTATTAACTCTTTACCACAGGACTGATATTTAAACACTAAACATAATATTTAGTCTTCTTATTAACTCTTTACCACAGGACTGATATTTAAACACTAAACATAATATTTAGTCTTCTTATTAACTCTTTACACAGGACTGATATTTAAACATTAAACATAATATTTAGTCTTCTTATTAACTCTTTACCACAAGACTAATATTTAAACATTAAACATAATATTTAGTCTTCTTACTAACTCTTTTTTTATCACAGGACTGATATTTAAACATTAAACATAATATTTAATCTTCTTATTAACTCTTTACCACAAGACTGATATCTAAACACTGAACATAATATTTAGTATTCTTATTAACTCTTTACCACAGGACTGATATTTAAACATTAAACATAGTATTTAGTCTTCTTACTAACTCTCTTTACCACAGGACTGATATCTAAACACTGAACATAATATTTAGTCTTCTTATTAACTCTTTACCACAGGACTGATATCTTAACACTGAACATAATATTTAATCTTCTTATTAACTCTTTACCACAAGACTGATATCTTAACACTGAACATAATATTTAATCTTCTTACTAACTCTCTTTACCACAGGACTGATATTTAAACACTAAACATAATATTTAGTCTTCTTATTAACTCTTTACCACAGGACTGATATCTTAACACTGAACATAATATTTAGTTTTCTTATTAACTCTTTACCACAGGACTGATATTTAAACACTGAACATAATATTTAATCTTCTTACTAACTCTCTTTACCACAGGACTGATATCTTAACACTGAACATAATATTTAATCTTCTTATTAACTCTTTACCACAGGACTGATATCTTAACACTGAACATAATATTTAGTCTTCTTATTAACTCTTTACCACAGGACTGATATCTTAACACTGAACATCATATTTAGTCTTCTTATTAACTCTTTACCACAGGACTGATATCTTAACACTGAACATAATATTTAGTCTTCTTATTAACTCTTTACCACAGGACTGATATCTTAACACTGAACATAATATTTAGTCTTCTTATTAACTCTTTACCACAGGACTGATATCTAAACATTGAACATAATATTTAGTCTTCTTACTAACTCTCTTTACCACAGGACTGATATCTAAACACTGAACATGTCTTTTCTCCTTTATTACAAACAGTAGATACAATCCTCTCTGAAGACTAGCTCAGCAGACGTCACTTGTTTGGTAACATTTTCCCGTGTTTCATTATAAATCTGGAAACACAGAAAGAAAAGTTAACAACAAAATACTTTTACTAATTTATAATCTTCACAATGATGGTTATTCTGTTCATATTTTATATCTAAAAATCACAACTCTAATCTTACACATGCAGAAAAAAAAATCACCTAACAAACTAAACTGTAATAAACAGCAATGTGTAAGTGCCATGTCAAAAACTAACAAACTAAACTGTAATAAACAGCAATGTGTAAGTGCCATGTCAAAAACTAACAAACTAAACTGTAATAAACAGCAATGTGTAAGTGCCATGTCAAAAAATAGAACACATTAAACAGTTTGAACTATATTTCAAATAAATCTTATTTATAATCATATACTATTATATTTTAGAAATATCAACATCAATATACTTTATTGAGCATAAAATATGTGCATGTATATCATGATATTTTATTACAGCATTGTCCTTTTTGTTTGAAACAGAAGTGTTCATTCAGTTTAACATCAAAGTTGAGATTTTATCAACAATGTACGTATGTTATATTCAAACAGAAGCAAACACGGAATTACATGAAAATTCACTTTATTATACATCAACAACAAGCATCTACAGCCCTGTCAAACGTAAACATACAGAAAATAACTACTTGATAGAAAAAACATGCCCAAGAAAAGTCATTTGGCTGAAATGTTTTCTATTATAACCACCTTTATATTTTACACAAAACCTCATTGAATATTTAATTATCTTAATGATGGAGAACTGAGTGATTGGTTTGTTGTTAAGGGGTGTCTACAACAAAATAGTGTCATGTATATAATTTGTACATACAATGGTTTACGTGATGTAATTACCGTATTTTTTCGGCATACAAGATGCACTTTTGA